TTTTCACAAACCTTACGTTCTAGTGGAGAAGATGACAAACAAAACAAATAATACATATGGTCAACTGGAAGAGATTCATACTTGTACCCTTTCTAAAGAAAGGTGATCCAACAGGGTGCGGAAATGATCGAACTATATCATTAATATCACACACAAGTAAAATTATGCTGAAGATCATTCAGAAGCAGTTGCAGCAGTACATCGACAGGGAACTGCCAGAAATTCAAGCCAGATTCAGAAGAGGATGTGGAATGAGGGATACCACTGCTGATGTCAGATGGATCTTGGCTGGAAGCAGAGAATAGCAGAAAGATGTTAACCTGTGTTTTATTGACTATGCTAAGGCATTCGACTGTGTGGATCATAAGAAATTATGGATAACACTGCAAAGAATATGAATACCAGAACACTTAATTGTGCTCATGAGGAACCTGTACTTAGACTAAGAGGCAGTCGTTCAAACAGAGTAAGGGGATATTACATGGTCTACAGTCAGAAAAGGCGTGCATCAGGGTTGTATCCTTTTACCATACTTATTCAATCTGTATGCTAAGCAAATAATCCAAGGAGCTGGACTATATGAAGTAGAATGCAGCAGCAGGATTGGTGGAAGACTCATTAACAACCTGTGTTATGCAGATGACACAACCTTGCTTGCTGAAAGTGAAGAAGACTTGAAGCACTTGCTGATGAAGATCAAAGACCACAGCCTTCAGTGTGGATTACATCTCAACATAAAACAAAAATCCTCACAACCGGACCAATAAGCAATATCATAACAGAGAAAAGATTGAAGTTGTCAACGATTTCATTTTACTGGGATCCACAATCAAAGCCCATGGAAGCAGCAGTCAAGAAATCAAATGACACATTGCATTGGGCAAATCTGCTGCAAAAGACCTCTTTAAAGTGTGAAAAAGCAAAGACATAACATTAAGGACTAAACTGCCCCTAAACCAAGCCATGGTGTTTTCAATAGCCTCATATGCATGTGAAAGCTATACAATGAATAAGGAAGACCAAAGAACTGATGCCTTTGAATTATGGTGTTAGTGAAGAATATTGAATATATCATGGACTGCCAGAAGAACGAACAAATCTGTCTTGGAAGAAGTACAGCCAGAATGCTCCTTAGAAGCAAGGATGGCGAGACTTTGTCTCACATACTTTGGACATGTTAGCAGGAGGGATCAGTTCCTGGAGAAGGACATCACGCTTAGTACAGGGTCAGCAAAAACGAGGAAGACCCTCAATGAGATGGACTGACACAGTGGCTGCAACAATGGGCTCAAGCATAACGACTGTGAGCATGGCACAGGACCGGGCAGTGTTCTGTTCTGTTATACATGGGGTTGCTATTAGTCAGAACCAACTTAACAGCATCTAACAACAACATGCTATGTTATGGCCATAAATGCCATAGAGAAAAATATAGCAAGAAAGGAGAACAGGGATTGTTGGTGTAGGATTCAAGTTTAAGTAGCATTTTCAAGGAAGGCCACACTGCAAAGGTTACCACTGAGCAAAGATCCAGCAGGGCAAGGAGGCCAGTCACAAAAGGACTCAGGAGTGCTCCAGAGAGAACTTGTATTGACCCATTGCTGGGGCACAGCCTAAACCGTGCAAAATGCTCTTTCTAAAAAGCTCAACTGTCAAAACATTGAAAAATGTGTACGTTCTAGAGATGATCGCCTTCCCCCCAAACTCTGGACTCTTTCCTTAATGAATACTTTAAGTTGCTACTTGAGATGCTGGCTCACTTAGCAAGCTTGATATATGATGTTAAGAAGAGAACTCACAAGATGATGACTTAGAATTTCAGATTCTGGCATATACTGAGGTAGAAATTCACAGCCACATGTAAAGACTGGATAGACCAGAGACTCCTTCTGAAGTCAGTTCCAGGAATGATCAAGAAGCTGGACCCATTCAACAGAGGGCTGACTTGATGTAAGGCAAGAGAGACAACTGAAGCCTCACAGTCTATGCTACAATTAACTACTATCCAGAAACATTAGTCCAGAGAAATATTAAGGCAGCCAAGTCCTCTAGGACTTTGCAGACTTAAGCTGTCTCACCTTTTTTCCACTGTGCGGGTTTGGCCAAAATTCTTACAGCTAAACTCAGGAGTCCTTGGTTGGTTATGTTTAAACAAAACCAAAAAGTTCTAAAAGATGATACCTACTACAAACAATTATGCTGCTGAACATCCTGCCAAAAACTTCCTTGGGCAAAAAAGGGTCATTGACGAGGTTCCACATTTTTTGGTATAGAAAATATGTCTGGGGGAACTGAGGCAAACATAGCAACTAAGAGCACAGACTTTGGAGTCACACTGCCGGGGTTTAAATGTAGCTTCACCACTTGCTAGGTATGTGATCCTGGGTGCTTCTTAAGGTCTGTGTTTCAGTTCCTTCATCTTTAAAACAGGATAACAGTATTTATCCTAGAGTGTTGTTATGGGGGATTAAATGAGCTGATATTTAGAACAGTGCCTGGCACATATTAAGCACCATATAAATCTTTTTTAAAACAAAACAAATAGAACATAATGCTCATTTAATCTTTCTCTGGAATACTTATTCTAAAGACTTACCTCTTTTCACTGTCATCAAAGAAGAAAAGATTTACTGACATGTACTGGGTAAACTTTCTTTTAGAAATGTTTAAAGCAGAACTCTTATTATTAAGTCTAGAAATTCTAAATCTGTCAAGTTTATATCACATTTTTAACTGAATTTCAAGGTGAACTGTGGAAAAAATAGATGACTAAAAAATTATCAAATGAATACTTTATTAGAGTCATAACACTTATAAAATAAATTTCCTTTCAGCATGGAGTAACCAGATTTTAAAACCAACACTTTCTCATTTTTATAGCTAAGATATATAAAGAAATTCTTAAATGCCACATTTTTTGTTCAAGCGCTTTGTCACTCAATTCACGAATCTAGAATGCAATTAATCTACAAATCTAAGTATTCACAGTTAGATGAGTTTTAGGCTTGGTTCTTAATGATCTATAAGCAATCTGTTTACAAAAGTGCCACCAAAGCATTTTAATAAAATCCTTTAATGCCACCAAGCATGGATCTGTTATATCTCAGAAAAAAAAAAAAAAAAATCTTACAACTAAAATCTAGCAGCCTAACTTTAAATAATTCTAACTAGAATGGACTATACATTCTTATGGCATATTTATGACTTTGTAATATATAATTCCTAATACAGGTTTAGTGTGTGGTATGGAGCTAGAAATACCAAGAAAGTAGGATACTACGGAAAAGATATGGCGTGAGTATAGAGTCGTAAGACTGATTTCGTCAAGTCACGTACGGAAACCTATCTTTTGCCTTTAAAATCACATCACAAATGAAAACTATAGCATGATTCCCCTTTCTAGGGGATTACTGTTAAAACCGGCATGTGAATCATGCTACTCATTCATGGTTGTTGTATGTTCCATGAAGTCTGACAGTCCAACTTATTCATGGCACTCTTTGGGATTGATTTAGCCAAAACACAAAGGGTTGAAAGAACAGAACAATCAAAAAGCCCTTTTTTCCCCAGAGGCAGCCCTCTTGGGACAAGGGGCGAACACCTTACTTGGACAGTGTGGAGGGCGCGGAGGCTGACTACCTTGTAATCCCATTCAAGCCATTTTGGCACCTTTCTATAACCATGGTCTCTACAGGTGGGTTAAAATACTTAGTTCTGCGTTATTCAGCCAGAGACTATTTTTGTGCCAGCTGCTCTTTTTAAAAAATGATTTTATGTATCTGTCACTAATGCAAAGGCAATGTAGATGTCTAGGCTATTATCAAAATATGTAAGAACCTATATTTAATACCCTATTCAAATTTAACTTAGAAAGTATTGCAAAAATCATCAGAAGTAAAAAGTTAACTCTTCCGGAAGTTCTATTTGAAAAAGCTTCACATATCCACACACAGGTATTTGTATATTCATGCACAGGGCAAGCAAATGTATGCTGAAGCATAATTAAGTCCAAAGTAAGACATAAGGAGCTAGATACCAGTTCCAGTAGTGATTTATGGTCTCTGGGCATTTTGTTTTAAGGATGTCCAATGACAATCTTGCTCTGTTGTTACGAGACCATTAGTTAGATTAAGCAACTAGGATTCAATTCATAAATTACTTTTTCCTGTACCCAAGACTGTGCTTGAAATTGCTCGAGAAACTAGGTGCTCCTCCAAAGGTAAGCATTTAAGCACTTAACACAAAGGTGATGTGATTATTGCATAATGAAACTAACTATTGTGTGGCTTGTCATATTGGTTATATACCTTTTATGATCAGTTCAATAAAATATACAACACATAACTAGGATTTTACATCATAGGCCAGCAAACCATGGCCATAGGCCAGACCCAGCCTGCTGCCTAATTTTGTAAATAAAGTTTTATTGGATCACAGCCATGCTCATCTGTTTATGTGATGTCTATGGCTGATCTCATGCTACAATGGTAGAGCTGATTAGTTGTGACAGAGACTGTACGGCCTTCAAAGCCTGAAATATTTACCATCTGGCCCTTTATACAAAACGTGTGCCAATCCCTGTTTACACAAAAAGATTCAGTGGCAGACTATTTGAAACGTGGTTTAAGGGAGTTTTAGTTACCTATTAAAATTAAGGTATAGGTGACTCAACAACCAAACAGAATGAGTAACACTTTTTCATGGAGAATATCTGCTTAATTTTATGGATATAAAGAGTAATTTTCTTTTTTTTAAAAAAAATCACAGATGTAGAATTAAAAAGTGAGATGAAAGGCCATTTCTCTGTTTAACATAATAAAATTAAGATTCCATTCCTGAAATAAACCAAAACTCACAGTTAGATTCTCTTTATATATTAAAAAAACAAAGCAAACTTTTGTAATGCTGTTACACATCTGGACAAAACAGTATCCAAATGGATCAGACATATGAAGTACATAAATGAAACTAACACATGCACAGTTAGTTTCCAAGGAGTGTTACGGTCGCCATCTTCGTAAAGCCAGACCCAAGCTGCAACCATAACAAGCTGTTGTCACAAAGGCAAAAATCTAAGAAAAAAGAAACAAAAATTCACATCAGATCTGTATCACTAAGAAAATCATCATCCTAAGGAAAAACTATTTGAAGACTGACCCATCTACCTGAAGATACTTCAACACTTACGGAAATGTTTTGTAGTCATCTTTGATACTCTCTCTGAGTGTTACATCCCCTCTTCTCACAACATCACCCTTCCTTTAAACAGTCTAGCCTCAATAATTTTCTCATTTGTGGACAGCCTTATGTTGAACATTTGTTCACATACTGGGCCCACTTGTTAGTTTTTGTAAAAAGCCCAGCAGTTGTATTAAAAAAACTCAGTCTGCAGTATCGGCTTATACAGTGATCTCACAGCCAACAAAGGTAACAACTACCAGAACTCAAGGAGGTATCAAATCATTTCTGTGACAATAGAAAGTGATTTCACGGCTGAAAAAAGAAGACCCATAGAAATGAATCATCAGGTGGCTCTCTCCCTCTTGTGTGAGAGGTAGTCCTCATGCATGAGTCTGTGCTCTGCCCTGCACTACTGTCCTGAGTATTCAGTGAGGATTTCTTTAGCATCAGCTATGTGCCCAGCAGTACGTTTGGTGCATATAAATAGAAACATTGTCCTCACTGTTTTGGGGTTTATGATTCATTGAAAAATACAAGACCATGCAGTTAAATGTGGTTAAAATATTATGATTTAGTACAGGGATTGTTAACCAGGAAACTATAGCTCTGGGAAGGAATATCTGATTCCTCTACAGAATATTTTCACAGTTTACTATTCTGCTACTGTCCACACCCTTTTTCTGCTGGTTATCTCTCTGACAGGTCTCTAGTCTAGAAGTTGTCCTCTGAAAGCGAATAATCACTTTTAATATCTATTATTAGTGAAAAGGAAGTTTCCACTCTCTCAGGTATATTAAAAAGAAAAACGAGGAACTTTTAATATAGTGTCACAAATGAATGGCTCATACATTTAAGTGCTATTAAAACTCAGAAACTAGAGATTTATTTAGACTGAAGTGTATGGACGAAAAGGGACTCAACGTAGAACTTGAAGGTCGTATGGGTTTACTGAAGCATCTTTACTGGGACAGAGAAAAAAAGGACTTTATAGGTGAAAAGGAAGAATATCAGGGACAAAGTCACAGAAAAAGTACAGCCAGAACAGTCACATCATGGAGAACACTGACTGCTGGGCCGTTAGGGAAAAGAACGCAGGTGAGAATAATGACATTTGACATCTCAAAAATTATCTAGAAAAAACAGTAATATATCACATCTTTAAATTACTATATCAAAGCAAAATGACAAACTCACTTCAGTAAATGAATTCAGGAGGATAAACACAGTTCAAAAAAATGTCCCCACAGAATGAATTTCACCTGCGTATCATCTAGTGTAACGGCTGGCTTATTTGCCTCCCCTACTAGGCTGCACTTTCCTCAATGACAGGAACTGAAACTCATTCACCCTTGTACCCAAGGTCCAGCAAATTACCTGGCACATGGTAGTCCCTCAATAAATATTCACTGAATTAAAATGAATTATAAGTAGGTGTTGAACAATGAAGGACATAGCTAGAAACACACTTCCCTTACAATGTCTGAAGTTACAAGAAGTAAAAAGCACAATTCTTTTTACAAAGTAATCTTTGCTGTGCCAGGCCTGACTCCAAAGTCCACTTTCCCTCCTATCAAAATGCCTCTATATTGGTATAGCAATATTACAACACAGAATATTGCACTGCCTTTGTAAATGCCCATGTAGTAAACAATGTCAGCCACAGGAATTGTTCTTACTCTGCCTAGAATAATCGGTTAGGCTGAACTAACCAGGGGTGAGAATCATAAAGGTACACCACTAACAATTCTAATTAACACTTCCAATTTATAAATTGGCCCACCAATGCCTTCACACTGGCTATGATCCTGCATGAATGTCAACCTCCTTCAGCCTCAGTTTTATCATCTGTAAAACTGAGGGTAATAACAGTACTTTGCTAATAGGCTTATTGTACAGATAGAAAGCAATGATACGTTTAATGCTAATGGTTATAATTTCTGTTGCCTAAGGAGTTTCTTGGAAACCTTGGAAATGGAGGGGGACTGATGGTAGACTGCACTCATTGGACACTTACTGTGGCTGCCACGTTTATGTTATACTGGTTATCACTCAGAAGTGGCCGTACAGTCATGGTTCTATTACAGTGCAGATCATGCAGGGACGTAGCTGCTGCTTCCAGTAAAAAGGCTCCAAAGTAGAAGACAAACGCAGTAAAGTGGTAAGCAAAATCCTGAAGGAGGAGGAGAAAGAAAGAAATCTACAATTAAAAATACTAAGATTTTTATTTCTGTTTTTTATCTCAAACGATAATGTTTAGGCTCAAGAAGATCAGAACATTTATTCAAACAATCTTAACTTTACATTTGCCATTTATTTTGGCTGCTTCAGCAATGAAAGGCTATTAGAATCCAAGTGAAAATCAACCAACACATCTTAATTGGCAAAGTGGCAAACCTTCTGATATACTGAGTTTTATAATTTAAAAAAAAACAAAAAACTGTTGCCTTTGAGTCGATTCTGACTCATAGTGACCCCATGTGTGTCAGAGAAGAACCATATTCCATAGGGTTTTCGACGGCTGATCTTTCTAACGTAGATCACCAGGCCTTTCTTCCAACATGCCACCAACCTTTGAGTTAGCAGCTGAGTGTGTTAACCAGTGGCACCACCCAGGGACTCCTGAATTTTATATTAAAATGTATAATTTCAGTTTGGATTAAGGTGCCATAGAGGTCAATATTAATTAATATAAAAAAGGAGTAATGTATGCTGTCCTTAAAATTTCGATAAAATAGAATTTAAATTACATCTTTTTATTATAGTTATATATAATGAATATAAACATACATTTTATAATTATTTTATTTTTGAACAATTAATATTTTCATCCATTAGAGATTGTCATCCCATACACTGAAAGATACAGCCGGCCTATTAAGTCATAAAATTTACCAGCATATACTGACAAAAAGTATAGAAAACTTTCCTACAAAGCTTAGTTGTTTATTAGGTTATTTTGTATGCTGCTGGCATTACTGCGAAGCATAACTCTATTAAAATTCATACTGTCTTACCTGAATTAATGTACCATCGACACACTGCTGTTTGTGTTAACAACTCCCATATATGAGGCACTTTACATTCATTATTACTTGTCCTTACAACTGTCATTTCTGATCCCTATTTTACAAACAAGTAAAAGTCTCCCCCCTTTTCAGTTAAGTGACTGTCTCCAAGCCACACAAAGATTAACCTTTAGAGGGAGAACTCAAACTCACACAGGTCTGCCTGGCTCCAAAGTCCACTTTCTCTCCTCTCTATCAAACCACCTCTATTTTTGACATAGCAATATTACAACACAGACCGCCACCCGGCCTTTGTAAATGCCCAAGTAGCAAACAATGTCATTCATAGGAATTGTTCTATCATGTCTAGAATAATCTGGCAGGCTGAACCGAACTAACCAGGGGTGAGAACTATAAAGGCACATGGCTAACAAAATTCTTTCTACTTAACACCTCTCATTTGTAAACTGAACCACCAATGCCTTCAAAAAACTTAGGAAAAGTGGTGCATGATGGCCCCGTGCCTAATCTACAGGAAAAAAGCTCAAATATATGCTGTGGTCATTCAACAGATGGTAACTGAGGAAGGTCAAAATCCAAATATCACTACTTTTAGGGATTAAATATACAGCTGGGTCTTAATTAGCAATAATGACTAAGGGAAAATGTTTGGGATCATTAAGCACTGACTTAATTTACTGATGTGGATCCTCAGAAATAGCTTATTTTATCTTCAAAGGGAATGAAAAAGTTTTGTCACATGGTCTGCAACTCTTAGTATGATGTGGCCCTTGGCTTACTCATCAGCCTCATCTGATGCTGCCCTCATACCTCTTTGAACAACAGCCACTTGGAAATCAGCACAACTGGACTAAACCAAAGCTAAGAAGTTTCCTGAATACAATCAAACGCTTCGAGAGACAGAGTAGCAGGGGTGGGGATCTGGGGACCATGCTTTCAGGGGACACCTAAGTCAACTGGCATAACAAAGTTTATTAAGAAAATGTTCTGCATCCCACTTTGGTGAATGGTGTCTGGGGTCTTAAAAGCTAGCGAGTGGTCATCTAAGATGCATCAATTGGTCCCAACCACTTGGAGTAAAGAAGAATGAGGAACACCAAAGACACAAGGAAAGTATTAGCCCAAGAGACAGAAAGGGCCACATAAACAAGAGACTGCATCAGCCTGAGACCAGAAGAACTAGATGGTGCCTGGCTACCACAAATGACCGCCCTGACAGGGAACACAATAGAGTTCCCGATGGAGCAGGAGAAAGGTAGGGTACAGAACTCAAATTCTAGTAAAAAGACCAGACTTAATGGTCTGAGACTGGAGGAACTCCAGAAAGCATGGCCCCCGGACGCTCTGTCAGCCTAGAACTAAAACAATTCCCGAGGCCAACTCTTCAGACAAAGATTGGACTGGACTGTGGGACACCAAATGATACTCATGAAGAATGTGCTTAGCTCAAGTTCATACATGAGGCTAAATGGGAAGTCTCTGTCTGGAGGTGAGATGAGAATGCAGAGAGGGTTAGGAGCTTGTTGAATGGACACAGGAAATCAGGGGTGGAAAGGAAGAGTGTGCTGTCACAGTACAAGGAGAGCAATGAGGGTCACATAACAATGTATGTATAAATTTTTGTATGAGAGACTAACTTGAATTGTAAACTTACTTAAACTACAATAATAAAAAAAGAATTGTCATAAGTGTCAAATGAGTAAATAAACGTGAGGGAGCAGCAAGTACAGCGCAGGACATTTAAGATATTAAATGAGTGATGTCAGAATACACAAGGAGGAATCACAATCAAATGTGTGCCAACCACATTCCTCGGGAATACAGGGAAACACATTGAATTGCACAAAACTTTTTTTTTTTTTTCAGACCTGATTTTTCTAAACTATATCTTTCCTTAACCCCTTCCTAAAGAGAGAATGTAAATATGGCATCTCTTGTTTCAAGTTAGGCAAAAGAATATTCCTTCCTCTCCACAAAAAGTCAATAAAACAAAACATTTTAAAACCAAAATCTGCTTCTATTTACAAAATTAAAATGGGGCAAGTTTTTAGCATTTAAAATATGTTATGAGTCAAAATCGACTCAACGGCAACGGGTTTGGTTTTTTTTGGTTTTGGTATTGCATGTTATTTTTTATTTTACCATTTATACTAAAGCTAAACAGCTTGGGAAAAATACTGAAGAGATCTATCAGGAATCTTAATTTAAGCTCATGATCAATGTAAGTTAGATGCAGTATTGTAGTCAATCTTGACAACAAGTAATTTTAGAAAATAAATTATCAAGATGTACTCTAGCTTCCTTCACGCATGGCATACAGACAGCATTAAATTATTACCACAGGAGAAAGCAATTCTTTTTTGAGCAATTAATGTCTCACAGTTCTGGAATGCAGCAATTAAAAATCGTTACCATTTTGTGACAACTCTATGATATGCCAGGCTCAAAAATTTCCCTGGCTAAGTGTAAAAGGTGTATCATATATCGCAAAGCCTATTAGTAAGCCACATAATCAAAGATGACTGAGTATGTAGAAAATCACAAAAAAAGAGAAAAAAATTCCCAACCTATTATTTCCAAATAAGTTGGGCATTTAAGTAAACTCCTTGAAAGCAAGAGTTGGCTCTTTGAGAGTATGGCCACCCTGTGACACGTGCTCAGAGAGATAACCACTGTCCTGTGTAGTATCTGTTGCTATTACCATCTTTCTCAGTAAGAGTGGACTTGTTGTTGTTACTTGCCATCAAGTCAATTCTGACTCCTGGCAACCCCGCATGTGTAGAGGGTTTTCAAGGCTGTGACCCTTTGGAAGCAGATCACCAGGCCTGTCTTCCAAGGTGCCTCTGGATAGGTTTCAACTACCAACCCTTCAGCTAGTAGTCAAGTGCTTAACTGCTTGTGCCACCTCAAGACAGGAATGGAATACTCCAGATGAAAAAACCACAGGATAGTCTTTACAGATGACCTATAGAACCGACGGGCAGCTCTTTCCACTTTCAATAGTCCCTCATATATGGTGGTTTAATAGAAAGAACAAAACGCTTATATTTATTATCAGGACATTAGATAGAGTGCTATAAATTGGGGGTAATGCAAATTTAGGCAAATTAATGTAAGTGAATAAGGATATTAATTATTGTACTCAGTATCAAAGGTAAGACTCAATATAAGCAAAAGGAAAAAAGACGGTACAAACATAAAGATCATCAGACCAAGAGTGATAGTCAAAGCATAAACATTGGTTACACATGTGCGTCAACCAACTAGCAAGAATACTGGACACTGCAGGATCCTGGAAACGCCCTACTTTACCAGGTGCTCCCTTTAGTTCCCGGGATTACTGGAAGGTCAGAGAAGATCCCAAGGAAAGAAAGGACCAGGCTGTGGATGGCACAACACTTGGGGTGATGAGATGAGCTGGGCAGTGACTATGTATTCACCAGTACAGAAGTACCCATAGGGCTACACTGGTATGTACTGGCCTAGTATTATCTTTGGCCCTCATAGTAAAAGAGACCAGTGGCCCTGACGACTGAACGGTTGACTGACCAAGTCCTTCATGTTACTATGGAAAAGTTGGACATTTAGAAAGCAGAGGTTAAGCATCTCTCTATAATTTTTTTTTTTAACAAATTTATCTTTATTATAACAGGTATTCCTAAGAAACTTTGAGCAATCGCTAGAAATGACCCAGTACAGAACCTCAGCTGCCGCTTGAAAGGGTCTCTCGCTGATTAAGAGAAAAAGCGCAGGAGACTCGCAGTATCTGCAGACTCGTGCTCCCCACAGAGAAAACAATACCAGCGTTCTGACCACCTCCACAAACTCAGGAAAAGGGGACGACGACGATGTGCAATTATACGGGCCAATGGTACCAATGCAGACAGCGGGTTAGTGCAACCCAAAGCGGTTCCAACTTTTGAACAGCAAAAAAATCCGGGGAAAACACGAACGTAGTCCCCGACTACCACAAATTATGCAGCTGAGTTCCCCACATTTGGGGAAATTGCAGTGGTCAGCAGGTCTGGAGTGCAATGGATAAACCTTGCCCTGGGAAAATCACCTTCGTGATCATGGTATCTCCCCTGCCAGGTAAGTATTCTCTGTAACTTTTGATCTTCAGTATCTGGCCAGTTATTAGGAATACTTTCTCATCATCAATAAGAAATACATGCAAAAGTGTAGGAACACACTCTATTAGCAACCTAACAAATAGAAGCATTCTCAAAGGTTTACATTGCCAGTCTGTGTGTATAAAGAGTTAAAATGATTATGGAAAGTTTACTATATGCCAGACATAAAACTAACCATTTTATACATACATTGTTTCCATTATTCTTTAACAGTATTCAGTGAAAGAAGTATTACTATTTTACAGAAGGAAAAAATTGAAATTCAGGGAGGTTAAATATTTTGCCCAAGGCTACACAGCCATTAAGCAAACCAGACCTAACCTCAAAGCCTGTGCTCGTAACCACTGTAAAACACAGCCTCCTTGCCTTCATACTAACTCACGTCGTTTGCCCCAGGCTGATTTAAAGGGAAGCCACATTCATTAGACTTCACTGCAGATAACATTCGGGATTACAGTTCTTCTACTTGTGATCTATAAATAAGACTGGAACAAATAGTTCCGCTAACATCTGTTCCAAAGCTATCTTCCTACAGAATAAAATGCTATCATGCTTGAAAGAAATATATTTAAAGCCTGACTACAGGCCTGATTTAAGTTTTTAAAAATCAAAGTGTTGTCAGAACATAATGGGGGTTCTTCACGACATTCACTGAAGCCCTCTTCACCATGGATTAGAATTCATGCTCCACTGAATCATTCAGAAATAGTCACAGAGAACGAGTAATCACAAGCATGAAAGAGAGACCCAATACATTACACTGGAAAAGGAAGTTGATCCATTCAATGGTCTTCTAATTTTAAAAGGAGTGTTGATTGAAAATTTGAGTATTTGCACAACTTGAAGAATGTAATCTATGTCATTGAATTGTGCATGCAGAAATTGTTGAGATGGTGTTTGTTTTGTTATGTATATTTTCAACACAGTAAAAAATTGTAAAAAAATAGACGAGAACTAAATGCATAAAAAGAAAATTTATTTCCTGACACTCATCAATTCTTGTTAATTTAGGACAGGAATTGATAATAAATATAAAATATTCCCTTTTTTTCCTAAGTATTTGGAGAGCAGAAGATATCATTATTTGTTTTCTGAAGAGAATATTTGTATATTAAGTATCTGAGGAAGAAACCAACGGAAAATTTCAAGATACATGTTACAACATTCATCTTCCAAAGACATCGGTTCAATAGTTCAACAATTGCAATGCAATTCATTTGCTGTAGAAAATAAAACAGTCTTTGAGTAAAGGTCATCTAATTCATAAAGGAGTAGCTCAGCTCTATCAGCATGAGGATTTCACAAACTGGGATTCTACTGTCATGTAAGGCAGCCACAAGGCATCACATCAGACCCTGTGGTTTGACCTCTCTCCCACTAGCGGCACCCAGTAAATCAGAACACGAAATCAAGCACTTCAGAGCAGAATGAGATATTTATGTTTCCCACATTTTCCTGAAGCAGACTTAAAATAAAAATCCTTTACCAGGAAGTTCCAATTGGCATCAATCTGAGTCACCATGCCAGACAGGAATACGCCCAGGAAAAGGAGGGAAAAGAAAAATGCTGTCACGGACACAAACATGACCCATCCTTGTAGAAGAGGTAGAGGGACATTGGAGGAGGCGACCAAAATCCAGACAAGTGCCCCAAACACCTGAAAGAAACGAGACAGAGGGTGGTAAGTTTGCTTAAAATGTTTGTGCAACAGAATTAAAACACACTTGTATCAACCACACTACTCCCTCTTATCTCCCCAGACCTCCGTACACGTTCCTGCACCCCCACCCATCATTTTCTTTTTCATCATGTGAGCTGCCTTCTTCCCTCCCTGTCCTTCTACTTAGAGTCCTGATCCTACTCCACGCCTGTATCTCTACATCTGCCTCCATGCTGGACTCCCTTCCTCAGCCCATGAACATGCCGAGTATTCTTTCAGATCCTAAAACATCTTCCCTTGACCCTGTAGCCACTCTAACTACTGCCCTCTCTACGTATTTCCTTTTCAGCCAATCATTTTTACAAATTTGTCTATACCTGGTCTCTACTTCCTGTCCTTGAAGTTATTCTTCAAACCACTGTAAACCAGCTTCTGCTCTTTTCACTTCTCAGTGTTTATAAGCAAAATTCAGCCATCACCTTCTAATTTACCACATCCAGTGGTCATTTTGCAGTCCTTATCATGACTTATTTGTAGCATTTTCTATGATCGCCTATGATAATAATAGCTGTAGCTGCTGTAAATAACTAAAAACAATAAACTCTACCATCATTTATTGAGTATGTCTTACGTGCTGGGCATGGGAATAGGTAGATGTTCGTGCATCTAATATTCAATAATTACCTACAACAGGTCAGGCACTGTGTCAGGTGTTGGCAATATAACGATAAAGAGTTTACACTTGGTCTCTATAACTGTAAAACTCACAGTGATTAGAGGAAAGAGACAATTAAGCAAGTGATTAAAATGCTGCTTGATAATGTGGAAATTGGGCAAGTGATGGCAAGTTCCCCATGTACCAAGTGGGGAACAGCGAGAAGTGCAAACTAGAGACTGAGCAGAAATAGTCTTGAAGGTGATGGCCAACAAGATGAACTTCACTCAAGGACAAAAGGAGGCCACAGAATCATGCTGAGTAGAAGTAGCATGGTCAGATTTGCACTGACAAGTATCTCTCCAGCTAGAGTGTGAAAATGGACTGGAGAAGAAAGGATAAAGGGCTGGGGAACCACATAGGCAACTCTTCCAACAACAAAGGTGTGAACTATATTCAGGGCAGTGAAGACAGGGAGAGGTAAACGGATTGTGAGAAATTTAGAAGTAGACGTTATGGTAGTTGGTAACTGGTCAGATGTGAGACATGACAGAAAAATAACAGACAAGGAAAATACCTACATTTCTGGCTTTGGCAACTAGGAGTGAGTTAGAAAACACAAGAGGAGAATGTTTGGGGGCGTGAACAGATGAGTTCTATGGATCTAACACCAGCAATCTCCTCCTTTGCATGGCATTCCAAGTCCTTTAGATCACAACAGTCTTTTTCATCTCTGGCCACTAAGTCCCTCACATTTTGCATTCAAGAAGAACTATCCAAAGTCCAAAGACAAAGCTATTTTACATCTGAGTGGCTTGACACACGATGGGTCCACAATGTCATTTCCTCCCACGTTTGAGAAAGTCCCATTCACAGCTTGTCTTAGTTACTTAGTGCTACTATAACCAAAATACCACAAGTGGATGGCTTTAACAAACAGAAATTTATTTTCTCACAGTTTAGGAGGCTAGATGTCCAAATTCAGGGTGCCAGCTCTAGCAGAAGGCTTTCTGCCAGCTCTAGAGGAAGAGACTTGTCTCTTCTGAGCTTCTGGCTCCTAGGTGATCTTCATGTGGCTTGGCATCTCCTTCCCCCATCTCTGCTTCTCTCACTTGCTTGTTTAATCTCTTTTATATCTCAAGGGACTGACTCAGGATCACCCTACACTAATCCTGTCTCATTTACATAACAAAGACAACCCATTCCAAAATGGGATTATAACAATAGGCATAGAGGCTAGATTTACAGTACATGTTTTGGGGGGACACAATTCAATCCATAATTTTCCACCCTTTGCCCTCCCAAAATTCATGTCCTTGCCACATGCATATTCACCCCATAACATCATCTTAAAAGTCTTAAATCAACTCCAAGTCCAAAATATCATCTTCTGAATCATCCGCATCAAATATGGGTGAGACTTTAGGCACATTCCATCTTGGGGCAAAATTCCTCTTCATCTGTGAACCTGTGAAATCTAGACTACAGGTTATCTGTTTTCAAAGTACAATGGTGGAATAGGCACAGGGTAGACATTTCCATTACAAATGGGAGAAACTGGAGGAAAAGAAGGGATAACAGGCACTAAGCAAGTCCAAAACCCAGCACAACAATTTACAAGAGCTCTCAAGGCTTGAAAATAATCCTCTCTTCTCTGAGACGATGTAGGCAATGGCCCTACCATCCATGATCTGGGTGTCGGCCATACCCTCTGGATTCTGGGTGGAGGCCCCTCAGCTCTGGGCTTAAGCTCTGCCTTCCATGCCCTCTAGGACAGCAACTCTGCTCCCTCGGCTTTGAGCAGTTTCATTCTCCTAGTTCATCGAGTGGTGAGCCCATCCGCTTGGCCTCAGCAGGCTCCATTCTTCTGCCCCTTGGGTATGGCCACTCCACTCTCTCAGCTTTGGGTGACAGTCCCATCCCCCAACACACCTTAACAGCAGCCCCACACTCCGAAACCAAGTTGGCAAAGATCTGAATCTTGAAACCTAGCATGTTGTGACCCCACCCATTGAGATCCAGGAGACTGTGGCCCCGCCCTTTGAAACCAAGAAGGCCCTACTTCCCATGCTCCTTCCAACAGTGCTGACCTTTGAGCTGCTCCAGGGATGGTCCTTTTCTTTTCTTGGAGGACAAAAGATGTAGCTCCGTTGGCCTGTTTCCTGCCTGTAGAATTCCAAGAGGCAGACAATGTTCTTTCCTTTTGTTCTTTCTCTGTCCCCTTTGGTCTAAGCTGTTGGGTTTTCTGCTGTCATAGTTGGTTAGATACATCAGTCATAGGCTTAATCTCTTTAACAAAAGATTGTGTGGCCATGTCCTTGGTGAAAATTCTAGGACATGTGTCCTTAGTTTGTACAACAGAATTTTCCAAATCTTTAAGTTTTGTTTTCATTTTGCACAGCTCATTTTTAAGTCTAATTCTTTCCTCTTGCATTTTATTTAGACAGCAAGGAGAAAACATGCAGCCCCTTTAAGATTTTGCTTAGAAATCTCCTCAGCCAGATATCCAAGTTCATCACTTACAAGTTCTACCTTCCACCAAACATTTGAACAGAATTCAGATAAGTTCTTTGCCACTGCATAAAAAGCATCGCCCTTCCTCCACTGTCCAATCACACGTTCATTTTCTTCTAAAGCCTCACTAGAATCACAGTTAATGTCCACATTTCTAGCAACATTCTGTTGATAGTGCCATATGTATTCTCTAAGACAACAGAAACTTTCTCTATAGCTCTCCTTGCTTCCTTCTGAGCCCTCGTCAGAATTGCCTTTGACATCCTAATTCTACCAATAGTCTCTTCAAGGTAATCTAGGCTTTTACTATTTGGCACCTTAAAACTCTTCCAGCTGCTACCCATGATCCAATTTCAAAACCACTTCCACATTTTAGGTATTTGTTGGAGCAGCACCTGCACTTCTTAGTACCAAATTCTTAGTTATCTAGTGCTGCTATAACAGAAATACCACAAGTGAATAGCTTCAACAAACAAATTTATTTTCTCACAGTTTAGGAGGCTAGAAGTCCGAATTCAGGGCATTGGCTCTAGGGGAAGGCTCTCTCTCTCTGTCAGCTCTGGAGGAAGGTCCTTGTCTCTTCTGAGCTTCTGCTCCTGGACAATTTTCATGTGGCTTGGCATCTCTCTTCCTCCAACTCTGCTTCTCTTGTTTGACTGTTTCATCTTTTTTATATATCAAAAGAAACTGACTCAAGATGCACCCTACGCTAATCCTGTCTCATTGGTATAACGAAGACAACCCATTCCCAAATGAGATTATAACCACAGGCATAGAGGCTATGATTTACAACACATATTTTGGGGGGACACGTTTTCAATCCATAACATAGCTCATGCAGGATATCACGTCATCCAAAAAGTTGTTCCTGAGTTCCACCTAGCTCAGTTGCTCCTCCCTCTTCTGGGAAAGTGCCTATTGTAGATATGTTACACTGATGAGACACACTGTGATTTTAATCCCATGGCTGTCAGTCTATCGGCATTATTGGGCCTTGTTGGAGGCACACTGCCTATGTCTCTGCATCTGAAGCCATGTATTTATCTACGCAATAATCCTTTCCTAACTACCAGTCAGGCACAATGCTAGATTTAGCAACATGAAAAACTAGGCCACACACCTACAATGAAGACATCTACAGGCAAGTGGGAACATCTCTTTCTCTCACCCAGAAGAGCAGTACAGGGGATATGTTAGACATATGCATCTGGCATGGAGACGGCTCTCAAATATTTGCTTAGTGAAGAAATAAACTCCAAGTGCCCATATGAGTCTCCTTTGACGGCTGGAACTGTTTGAGCTCCAAAGGTTTAAAAAAAAAAAAAAGTAATCATCTTTTTAAGTATCTAGATAGCATCCAAATGGAACAAGTCACTAAAGTAAAAACAACAAGATTTAATTCAAATGTCTAAAAAAAAGTACCAGTCATACAATTTGTTATTACTTTAAAGAAACACTTTTTAAAGCATCATAAATTTTCACTTGAACACCTATAACTAAAGCACTAGTCTAATAAATTTATCATTATAGTGGTGTATCTCAAGCCCCAATTTCAAATAAAAAATTAACAGTCAATCCATAAAGTTCCATGAGATTAATCTAAGTGATAAATATTAATGCACATTAAATTTTTTAACCACAACCTTATCAGTGGCTATGAAAGAAAGAAACTTGTTCCTGGTAAAAGGTTTTCTACATTTTTATACTGTTTATTTAATAAATATTTGAAGGTGATAAGAATATCTTCAATAGGTTAATCTTTCCTTTTTTTCCCAGCCTCTTCTTTCTGATAGTCTTTCTTTACTGTCCCACTACAAGTAGCTTATAT